TGGGATCTAACCCATCATTCCACAGTTTTAAATGTATAACCCCTTAGGAAAAGAGACGCAAATTTATATACTAGCTATTAAAACACTGGTATAAGATTTGTTTCAACAGTAGGTTATTATGGAAGAGAAGAAAAGGAAGTAGAACTCAGTAAGAGAAGAGGAAGGATGAACAACTAACTACTTTACAATTCTGCCTTGGATTAGCCTAAAAAAGTCCCCACTACAAAATTCTAAACACAGTGAGCAATCATAAATAACTCTCACCTGCCTGACTGGTTGGCTGAGTATCTGTGTGATGGTCTATCTAGTTTTCCAAGGACCTGCCCAGGTCTATGCAGGTATACACCAGGTATATGCAATAGAGGGTGTTTCCCAACCCTTTCAAAATGATGATGCACCTGCTAGCCATTTGGGGCACACCAGAGAAGAAAGAAACTGCTTAGCCTTCTGGCCATGTGCCATCCCCCAGTCTTCGTGGTATGTTCTTAAAATCAGAGTCACTAACCCAGAATTATGATTTGGAATCTGGAGGCTGGGTGCTTCCAAGCTCATTTCACACTCAGTACCACAGCTGCCTCATTCTCTCAGCGGACTCTTTGTGTACAAGTTTGTCTTCCTGTCTTAATCATCTTTGCATCCCCAGGTGTGCCTGCAGCACCTACCTTAGTTCCTTACAAGAGTAGGTACTCAGGAAGTGTTTAGTCCATGTGTATTTACATAGCCAGGCCTCACCTTAGGAGTTTTCTATATTAAAGACCCCTTCTGCTCCTCTTTCACTGTGTTCTTTAATACACCTCCAGATATCAAAGAGTTCTCCATTTCCTCTTTTCCATTATTCACTTTGTATCCACTCTCCATTCTGTATGTTGGAAAAATCGTCCTAAAGATGCCCAATTTATTCTTTGGGAAAGTCTCAAAAACATAGTAATCATATTTTCCAAACTGAACTATTGGAACATGTGTTCTAACCAGAAGAAATGTACGTAGTAGGTAATAGGAAGTAATATTTGAAAAGGGACTGATCCTCAAAATCAAAAACACAATTGTTGAAACTCAAAGAGAACAAGGAGGATGGTCTGTGGTGTAATTCCTCAAGGTCCCGCCCTGTGATCTGGTCCAGCCTCTCTCTGATCTCCTCTCCTTCCTCTCTCTTCTTCCCACAAGCTGCCCCAGCCACACTGACCTCCATTTGGTCCTTTGAATCAAACAAGTTTGGTTCTCTCTCAAATGCTTTGCACTGGCTCTTCCTTCTCCTGGGGAACCTCTTCTCTAGATCTTTGCAAGGCTCGTGTCTTCTTATCATTCATATCTCAGCCTAAATCAAATGTCACCTTCTCACAAAGGCTTTCCTTGATAGCTACCACCAGTAGTCCTTCACTCCTAGTCACTCTCGATTCTATTATTCTGTTTTATTTTCTTCCTAGCATTTACGTCTACATGAAAGTATCTCATGTGTTTATAGTCTGTCTCCACCTCCACCCTCCTACCACCCACGACACTGCAAGCTTCACAGGGTGGGTCTTTGCCAGTTTGTCTGCTCCCACATCCCAGCACCCAGAACAGTGCCTCAGACGTGACAGGTGCACAAAACAACTTTGTAGAATAAACAGATAAATATTATTCCTACCACCACATTATGCTGCTCTGTCCTGTATCCTTACCTCCTATGGAGCTAAAAATTGTGTGATCCACTCTTGCAAATCTATGTCCACCCAAATATCTTTGGAAAATGCACATCCCATGAGAGAGGAAAGAAAGAATCCTGGTTTTGACTTAGTGGGAAATGGAAGTCAACGTTTAGGACAGAAAGAGGAAACAGACCATAGGACAGAGCTAAGGCAAAGAAATTTGATAAAAAAAATGGACTTGGGGTGTAATTTATGAAATACTGAAGTTGGACTGATAGTCAGGATAACCCAAACTCGGCTTTGCCACAAACTCACTGTGTGGCCTTGGGTCCCCTGTTACTCTGCTCTGAGCTTCAAATTCTGCACCTGTAGATAAGGAAGCTGGAAGACTCTTCTGTCCATTCCAGTGACTACTCTTTAAAAAGAGGAGATCTAGGCCGGGCGCGGTGGCTCACGCCTGTAATCCTAGCATTCTGGGAGGCCGAGGCGGGCGGATTGTTTGAGCTCAGGAGTTCGAGACCAGCCTGAGCAAGAGCGAGACCCCGTCTCTACTAAAAATAGAAAGAAATTAATCAGACAACTAAAAATATATAGAAAAAAATTAGCCGGGCATGATGGCGCATGCCTGTAGTCCCAGCTACTTGGGAGGCTGAGGCAGATGGATCGCTTGAGCCCAGGAGTTTGAGGTTGCTGTGAGCTAGGCTGACGCCATGGCACTCACTCTAGCCCAGGAAAAAGAGTGAGACTCTGTCTCCAAAAAAAAAAAAAAAGAGGAGATCTAAGAGAGTGTGGTCTGTCCTAATGGTAAGAGTTATCGGACTGCAGTGCAGTAGTCCCATCAAGAACTAAGAAATGAGGCCAATAAGGTTGACCTTTGAATGTTAATAATCAGAGGCCAGATATGCACAGTTGTCTGAAGGATATGAAAGGCTTCTAGGCTAGCATGTCCACAATAGTCACCACTTTCAACTTATTAACAAAAATAAGAAGAAAACGTATCAATTAGGGGAGGGCAGTATGTCCTTAAACCTTGGACAGAAGGAAAAGCCAGAGGCAATGGCTGCTTCTATTCTTGCACATATGGTCTAGGGGAAGGGCCTTCACCCTCAGTGTTTCCTTTCCAGTGGGAAGGCTGGCCTCAGTGGAGGATGAGCACAGGGCCTGTAGTTAACAGGCCTTGAGGATTTTCAAGAGTGTAAGACAATGGTTAAGAGCCCAGACTCTTCATAGCTGGCTTCCAATCCTGACTCTGCCATTTACTAATTACATGACCAGGGCAAGTTATTAAACCTGTACCTCCACTTCTTCACCTGTGAAATGGGAGTGATAATAATAGTAAGTCCCAAGAATCACTGAGAAGATTAAGTTAATATGTGTAAAGCACTTAGAATAGGGCTGTAATTATAATTCCATTGGCAAAGCCATCTCTTGCTAACATGCATGCCTTAGGCCTAATGATACTAAATAATTGTCTCCCCTCATTCTGATGCAACTTTCAATAAGCAACATACTCCTTCCCATGTAGGTTTGCTTATACAGAAAAAATGTGCTTATCACAGAGGTTCTGAGAAATTCCCATCCCATAGCCTGCAGTTTCTTATGGCAAATTGATAAATTACCTGTGGTTGTTTCTGGGCCTCAAACACTGCTTGGCCACACAGGCAAGATGCAGGCATGATGTTGATGGAGGATTTCTGGGCCAGGAACAGGTCTGTTTTGATTTCTAAATCTTCACACTGGCACATTGGTACCTATCACAGCATTAGTGTGTTTGGGGTAGAATGCACTCAGGCTCTGATTTCACCGAAGAGTGATGCAGAGCTGGGTACCACCTGTATCAGCTCCCTGTCTGATCCTGCACATCACAAAGGCCTCAAGAGCCCCTGAGGCTGGGTCCCTGCTGGAGTACCTTTGCAAGAAAGGGTAAAAATCTTTTGGAAAACTGCTGGGTTAAAAAATATAGGAGAGGTGGGGAGCTGTAAGCAGAATCATGAATCCAAGGGCTCCCTCTGACCTGCAATGACTCTCCCTTCTCAAGAAAATGTCCAATTTTTCATTTCATTCTCTGACCCTGGCTCAGACTCCACTCTTTAGGGATTCGTCAGAGTTTTTCAGCATCCTTGATTAAAAGTGTGAGTCATGCTGGAAGAGTTAGAGAACTTTCAAAGATGATACACACCAGTGGGAATGAGTTCAATAAGATTTCTTTCCTTCTGTTGCCTGGATGGGCTGTGTCTGGGAATTGGCAGATTTGTGAATTTTGTTTTGTTTTTGGAGAAAGAGTAGAGAGCAGTGGAAAGGGTACATAAATGAGAAGTATGAAACACCTTGAATGGACCGTTAGACCTGCTTAGGGTCCAGGGAGAGTTTGAGAGGTTCAGGGACAGAAGAATGCAGGGACCTTCAGCTATGACATGGGTTATGTGGCATTTCTGAATTGGCCTGGGAAGGTAACCAATGATTATATTGTTACCCTGGAAAAATGCAATTTGAGATCCAAATAAGTAACTTGTAAAGGAACTTTTGACATACAACCCATTCCAACTGAGTTCTTAAATGGGGGACTTCTTGTATGGGATCTTGAGAGGGGAAAGCCCCCGGCGACATTTGGTGTTGCACAAGGAAAACAAAGACAGGTCAGAAACATAGAGCTTATATTGAGTTAGAGCTGGAAGAACATTTGTCCCTGGGGTCTGAGGCAGGCAGTGACCTGTTGAAAACCCGGGCTAGCAGAGGCACCTCTCCAGAGCCGGGTAGAAAAGATGTCCTGCATTTAAAGAGAGGAGGTTTAGGGCACTCGGGTTATGGGTTACGCTGATGCTTCATTCTGGTTTCTTGGGACAGCTTTGCCTGTTGACTCTCAGAAAGCCAAAGGCCTTGGTCTGAGTCTGCCTTCCTCAGAGTCCTTGCAGAAAGGTGAGACAGGTAAGAACTCAGCAAAGGCAGCGAAGCCATGGTTTTGAGGAAGCAGTGTGAGGAGACCTGGATCTGAGGGTTAAGACCCAGGGGCAATTCTACCGGCGGGGTGTGAAAGAGAAGGGGCTCAGGAGGACCGGGTGAAGGCACCGAGGCAGGTCGCACACACCGGGCAAAGGTGCAGCGTGGGCGCCCACGGAAAAGGGAGAGCAGAGAAGAAGGGGGCTGCGACGCGATGGAGAGAAGCGGGACGGGGAAGGCGCCAGGGAAGCTGTGCCTGCGGCGACGTGCTCGCAGAGGACGGAGGCGGGGAGGGTCTGGGCCAGCGGGCGGCGTGTGACCGCCGAGGCTGCGGCGGCTGGAACAGGTGAGCGGCCACTGGGCGGTCGGGCCCGCCCTTCCCCGCCGGCGTGCCTCCTCCTACGGACGCTTCGCTGTTCCGCGGCTCCCCTCAGCTTGGGGTTTTGCAACTGGCAGCTGGCTCTTTTTCCCCTCCCCTGTTCGCTCGCTCCTTCTTTTAGGTTGCTCCACCCCGCCGAGGATCGGGCGAGGGGAACCAGCTTGGCCGCGGCTGCCAACTCGCGCCGAGCGCGTCTGCGAACTCCCGGAGTGGAGTCCCGCGTCCCGCCTCGTCCCTGCGGGGCGCGCTGTCCTCGCTCCCCGGGGCCCCGCGTCCTTCCCCCCGCAACCCTTCCCCACTTTTCCCCCCTTTTGCAATCACATGGCATTTTAAGAATGCCGGAAAGATGGCGGTAGCGGCGGCGGCGGCGGCGGCTGGGCCGGCTGGCGGGGGAGGCGGCCGGGCGCAGCGGAGCGGGCTGCTGGAAGTTTTGGTGCGGGATCGCTGGCACAAAGTTCTGGTGAACTTGAGCGAGGACGCCCTGGTTCTGAGCTGCGAGGAGGGCGCTGCGGCGTACAACGGCATCGGGACCGCCACCAATGGCTCATTCTGCAGGGGCGCCGGGGCCGGGCACCCGGGCGCGGGCGGCGCGCAGCCCCCGGACTCGCCAGCCGGGGTCCGCACCGCCTTCACCGACCTGCCCGAGCAGGTGCCCGAGTCCATCTCGAACCAGAAGCGCGGCGTGAAGGTGCTGAAGCAGGAGCTGGGCGGGCTGGGCATCAGCATCAAAGGGGGCAAGGAGAACAAGATGCCCATCCTCATCAGCAAGATCTTCAAGGGGCTGGCGGCGGACCAGACCCAGGCCCTGTACGTGGGCGACGCCATCCTGTCGGTGAACGGGGCCGACCTGCGGGACGCCACCCACGACGAGGCGGTGCAGGCGCTGAAGCGCGCTGGCAAGGAAGTGCTGCTGGAAGGTAAGGGGTTAACCAGGCGGCGGGCCGCGCCAGGCGCACACACCTTCTCGGCTTCCCACCGCACACGCGCTCAGCCACGTGCCGTCGCACCTTGGGGTCCCGGGGTGTGTAGGGGGGGAGCGAGGGGGAGTGGCGGCAGCAATGAGTTTGACAACTTTTACTCACCTGGGGGCAACTCGTCCCCACCCCGAGTCGTTACAGGCTTTAACCTAGGAGGGAGTGTACGAAAAAGCGAGGCGAGCAGGGTTTCTACACCGGATGGGGTGCTTGATGCACTTTGTTTCATTTTTATCTGCGGATATTCCAAGTGCAGTGTAGGAGCTGGGAAGTGAGTGGAACGGGAAATGAAGGGTAGACTTAGGTAGGATATTCGCCCGTCCACGTTGCAAAGCGGGGCCACTGAGTGCAACTCAGTTTTCTGCTTTGGCGAAATTTCCCACTCCAAAGCCTGGGCAACCCAGCCGAGAAGGGCTGAATCATAGAGGGGCCAGAGAGAGGTGGCGATGCTTGAATGCTGAAACTCCGACCACCCTCCTGGACTTCCCTCCTGCAAATGGGAGACGGGGGTTATGCCTGGGGAATTGCGCCAAGGGCTGGGAAATATGTCGCAGCGAAAGTTCACTTCCCCTGCTGGGTGTTTGTCCAGTCAGTCTGGATTCCTCTGGGTGGAGAGCTGGTGAAGTGGTTTTTCTGCCTGCGTTTTCCTGAGTGGTGTATGGAAACAACTTTGCATTTGTAAACATTTTCTCCTGTGTGTGAAGAGCCTTAGAAACTACTCTCTTGAGATCTGATGTCTCCAATCCCCTAATTATTGAATATGAATAGAATGGGAAACACTGTTTTGCACTTTTCCTGGATATGTGGGGTAGACAGGCAGTATGGTAGTGAGCTGATAATGCATCCTCCTTGCCCGCTACAGCTGCGTCTCCCACTTGTTACCTTCTTCTCTTCGCCTTACCGCTTTGTACACGCCTGTCAGCAGTAATATCATGTAATTATTTTATCTATTTACTTAGTTCACTCTCGTTATAGATTGAAGTGTCTGGGGTCTTTTATTTAGTGGTAGGTCTCCCTTGAGCTTAGGTGTTCAATGACATGCATACTGAGTGAATAAATAAATAAACCCACAGCTATTGAGACAGAATATTTCAACTGAGACCTTGTAATATAGGGAATGATTTAAGCCCTACACTAAGGACTTAAGTCAATTTCCTGCTCACCTAGTCTGTGGTGCTGGCTATGAAAATGAGAAAGTTCAAAGTTGGGGAACCAACGTTGCTATGTGTGTGACTGCTGATGCAACCCCCCGGTGTGTGAAGGCTCACCTCCTGGCCTAGCGTACAGAGGGTTTTTTTTCTCCCTGATTTGTGTAGAGGATTTGTGATGTCTTCATATTTAATTGCCATCCTAGATCCAGAAAGTGGAAGGCTATTTGCTTTGGCTTGATGATTAACGTAACAGAAAAAAGATTTTCTTGACTCAAATGTGTGTCGGTTTGTGTGACAAGAGGCAGGTGGGATCTGGAGCAAGTGTAGTTTGGACTATAAACTGTTGGGCACCTGCTCAGTTTGCAGTAGTTACTGTAAATATTGGGGGTGGGGTAGAGAGGGACAAAAGGCAGGTCATTTTATTTTAGGCACCGTCCTTTATTATGTGCCGTCTTTTCTTCCTCTCTTTGGTTTCAATTTAATGAATAATGACTTGGCAAAAGGGGGGCAAAAAGCTCTCACCCCAAAAAGAGGAAGAAAAGGTGACTCCCTACAGTTGAAAATAAACTTAGAAAACCTCAAGCAGTTATGTGACTTGTTTGAGACGACAACTGAAAAGTGAGTTTCGTAAAAACCTCCAACATCACATTCTTAGAATGTTCTGTCACGTGTCGCAGGCAGGACCTCTGGGGAAACCCTGTGGACCACCTCAGCTCAGTGCTGCGGTCTTGTCCCCAGCCCACGTTTTCAGAAATCGACTGCTAACAAGAGGAGCAAGTGGAGGCCCTGCTCAAAACGGTGTCTCTTATTCCGAGCCAAAGTGTTGGTTCTCAATGAAATGGGAGTGATCATATGCCATCAAGTCAGATATCACAACCCTTTCTTTTGTAGCTTAGCCTAATGCAGGGAGTCCTAGGTGAAGAGGCTTATTAGGACCACCTCAAGAGCTTTTAGAACGGCATGCTTACTTCCTCATATTCTGAAATGCAGTGTCCAGAATTTTTACATAGGAGAGGCTTTGGGAATGTAATCCTGTTGGATGAGAGGGCTAAGGGAGATGTTTTAACAATATATTTACATAAAAAATACACAGTTTTTACTTTGACTGCTTTTTTTGTTTGTTTTTTGAGGGAGTCTATGGATTTAGTACACTATAGCCTCTGCCAATATGCACCCATTGCATGACAAGCGCCCCCTAGTGGAGAGATACTACGTCTACTAGTGGAAAACCCCGTAAAGTGAAACCCTAAGCAGCAAGTTTCACTGCCTGCGTTCTAGTCAGATTTCAGCCTCAGAGTTACCATACCTTCCCTGAGCCTCAATGTCTTCACCTACAAAATAGGAATAAGGGAACCTGCTTACTTTACAAGGCTGCTGTATGGAAGAGCACTCTGAGAATAAAAGGCACATATCAAATGCCTGTAGCTAATAGTAATTTTTACAATTTAGATGAAATGAAGATGAAATTCCCCTTCTAAGGGGCAGCCCTTTCCTCTTCCTTTATTAGAGTTTGTATTTCTTATTTTACTCTATTTTTTTGTGTGTGTTATAAAACTGTAATACTAGGAGACCATTCCTCTGGAGGCCACTGGAGTTAAATGGAATCTGGGGAAAGAGAATTGTTAGCAGTAGCTAATATTTCTTGAGCACTTAACATGTGCCAGACTTTACATGCATTTGTTCATGTTACACTTATAGTAACTCCATGAGGCCAGTACTATTGTTGTTTGTTTTACTGATGAGAAAATCAAGAGTTACAGACATTAGGTTTTATGCTTAAAGTCACATAGCTAGAAGACTTCCAAGTCTAACTGACTTAAAAGCTCATAGTTTCAACCTCCAGGCAATATTGATGCTCTGAGCTTTCATGTGGGACTGTGTACTTAAGGCAGTTGAAGTTATTGGGCTCAAAGTGTTCTTCTCCACCTCTCAAATATGCTGAAGTGCTTGGGACAACTCTGAGCAGGAAATAGCAATTATGTGGGCTACGCAAAAGGGAGGAACAGGAAGGAGGAGTGAGTCTTATACACCTAGTACACCCGGTGCCTGGCTATCAAAAGGAAGCTGCTAAGATATGCCTCAGTTCCCCCAGGGTTAAACACGTGGCCGGCAAGGAGACTGAAGTGTAATTCAAACTTAAATAGTGAGTAAATGGTGCCAGGTAAGCTGGTGTTTAAGCAATATTGATTAAGATCAGAAATTTTCACACTGTGAACTCATTTCTCATTTTAGGAAGTGGGAGAGGGACTCTGCATGCACCCATGCAGGTATCAGACCCCATAATTCCAGGGGGCACCGTTTGCATGGATTGTGGTGTGAATGGTACCTTCTGGAGTTGGGCAGGGCACACCAGCACAAACATGCCTGGCAGCTCTGAGTGGGGGGAAGAGGAAATTTTTGCTCTTAGATTAATAGTAAAATAGTAATTTAAAATATGTCAACCTTTTTGTAACTGAAGCTACAAAAAAATTAATTTTTCCATCGCTTTGGTGAGATTGAGGAGTTCAGCCTGTTCTGGAAGACTCATGTTGGAGTGTAGAAGTAGGGGGTGGAAAGAATAATCCCTGGGTTCAAAAGGCCTCCTATGGAACTGGGCTGGAAAAGGTGGAAACTCAAAGGAGAACGTCAAGGGCAGTTGCTGACATTCTTCCTGACCATCAGAGCTTCTCCCCCACACTGCGCCCCGTAATGTTTGCCCGCTGCGGTCATCACAACGTCACTTTCACAGTCACTTTCTCTGGTGATGACATGGGGTTGGGGAAGGAGAAGGATGGTGGCAAGGGAGGGGCAGTGGTTTTCTGGCACAAAATCTCAGGATTGGAAGAGAATTTGAACTTCAAGAAATCTTATTTTATTTAGGATGTACAGATTCTTAAAGAATACCCAGTAACCTTGGATTAGAGTCTTGAAACCAGTGTTCTTGTCTTCTACTTGTTTCCCTTTTACAAGATACTTCATCTCTTTGGGCCTTGGTTTTCTTCACTGGAAGGCTGGTGAGCTGGGTTAAGCCATCTCTAAACCTCATTCTGTCTTAAATCCTATAAACTCAGACCCAGTGCACAGTATTACTAACAAATATCTTGACACGCCTTTTATTATTGTGAAATGGATTTCATAAATAATATAGCCCAACTCTAAGTTAAATTTAAAAATCTCAGTGCTATAAAGGGGAAATGAAGTATTAATAACATGTTAAAACAAAAAAACAAAAATGCGTGTTGACAGATAAATGCATGGGCACAGCTGCGCCAGGGTTCATCATGAAGGAGTCAGATGCCAGCACCTCTGTGTTAAATCACTGTCAATGCACAGCTGCAAATGAAGATGAGCAAGGGTGTGTGGTATCATTTAAGATCTAGAAAAGTCTTTCACTGTGAAGGACTGCCCTAGGTGTTGCAAGATGTCCCTGACTCCCTTAACTAAATGGCAATAGTGTGACACCCCTTCCCTCACTTGATCCCTAAAATGCCTCCAAAAATTTCTGAACTGCCCTTGGGAAGGGGGTATTGATCCTCCAATCTCTCAAGAACCAGTGTTCCATGAGAACGCTATTTCCACCTCACCACTTTATAGTGCCTTATGTTTTTGCAAACTCTTTTTCATGTGTAATAATAGATAACACTTATGCAATACATTCTGCCACATTCTGTTCTAAGCATTTTATATGGGTTAACTTATTGGATCCTCAAGATAACACAATACTATTAGCATCCCTCTTTTACAATAAGAAAATTAAGACAGAGTGTTTAAGTCACTTGCCAAAGACACACAGTGAATAAATACTGTGTCTTA